TTCTGTTTCCTTAGGAAAAAAAGGTTTCCACAAATACTCAGTAATCGTTTGGCTGAAGTCTTTGGAGAGTTAGTGGTATTTGGCTCCTGAAGCGGAAATCTCTCTCCTGTCAGACACCCCCTGAACATCCCTGCAGGTTCCTTTCTGTTGTGCCTAATAGTACAACTGTGAGGCTTGGGCATGGCTAGTGTTGCATAGGCTGACTCCTTCACACTGCTTTCTGTGTCCTAGCTCTAACTTTGGCTATTAACTAGCTCACAGTTGAGCATAACGCAAGTGTAATTTTACTAGGTTAAAAATTGTAATTATGCGATAGGCAATAATTAATCAACATGTATGTTAAACTTGCCATCTTATAGTCTTTGAATCGTTTTTTGATGTTGTCCTCCCTCCCTCCCTCCCTCCCTTCCTTCCTTCCTTACTTCCTTCCTTCCTTCCTTCCTCCCTTCCCCCTCCCCCTCCCTTCCTCTCTCCTCCTCCTCCTCCTCCCTTGCTCCTCCCTCTTTCTTTCATTTTTTTTTGTTACACCCACTACTGTTCAGGACTCCTCCCAGATGGGTCCTTGTAAATCACTCCTCGTGATGTTCAAGGGACCATGCAGTGTAGGTCCCATATAGAAAGTATGTAGTCCAACCTGTTTCATTGTCTCCCCAAGCTGTTTGTTTTTAATTTTTAATTTTTATATTTTATTTGAGAAAAAGTTGGGGCCATATCCATCAGTTCTCAGAACTTACTCCTGGCTCTTGGCCTAGGAGTGACTCTGATGATGCTGGAACCATATGTGGTGCCAGAATCTAACCGTGTTTGACCACGTGCAAGGCAAACTCCTTAACTTCTGCACTAGCTTTCCACACCCCTCCACCCAGGTTCTTTATTTTCATTAGCAATTCTTTAGTTTGTCATAAGAAAAACATTTCTGAAAGATTTAAGTAACTTTACAAAGTGTGTGTTTTGAGAAGACATGAATTACCATGTCTTTTAACTTTGTTTTAAAAATTATGTGCAGTGCTTTGAATTTTCTGTACTATTCTTGAGAAAGAAAATTGTACCAAGGTGGTTTCATTCCAACAGGTGACCAAAGAACGTGAGAATAATTTAAAGGAGCTGGGGAGATAGCAAGCACATGGCCCCAAATTCCATCTCTGCCATCCCATGGTCCCCTGAGCCCTACCTGGTATGGCCCCACCTGTCCTGGAAATACCGCTGAATTGTGTAGCTCACACAGGCCAGTTTAATCAAACCTGGAGTGTTCAAGAATCCCCTACACATTGCTCGGAAGGTCCTCTCCTTGCCCTCAAAATAAACTCACTGCATAAATAGTACATTTAGTTTTTAAAAAGCAAAGCATCAGACTGGGGATGTGTCTTAAATGGGAGAGCACAGGCCTAGCGTGCATGCGACCTTGGGCTCCATCTTTGGCTTCACATCCCTCCCCTTCTCCCCAGCACTTCTGGGTGTGGCTCCTAGGAAAAGGCAAAGAATTGCTTTAGTTTCCAAAACATACATAACAGAAAGCATGTGGGGAATAGTTAATAGAGTGTGAATGTCAGCAGATGCATAAATTGCTGTTTAAATTCCATATTTCTGTTTTCTTCATGCTCACACTTAATATTTTAAATGTATGCAAATTCAGTGTTCGCAATTGAGAATTTAGTGGCTACCAGACCTTCCAGAGACTTTAGAATTCTTATTTTAACCAGCAATGTTGATGAAGCTGTATGTAAATACTTAAATCAGTTTGCTATAGTGAAAACTGACCCCAGATTATATGAATAAAAGCGCAAAAAGGAATGCTAGCTATGCCTTGTGACCTGCCTGTTAATAGGCTCATCATACTCTCATGTTAAATTTCATTTGTTAAATACAAACTAAGGAAATATATTAAATTATTAGAAAAAATTCCTGAAAGATCTGGGAGACTGAAAAAAATTATAATTATTTCAAGAATTTATTTAAATAAAGATTTCACTGGATATTTTGGATATTTTTAATCAAATTATTTTATTTAAATATTAAAAGGCTGTTTATATACATACTTACATTAGATATGATTATGTTGAAGCATTACACACATAAAATAAAATACTATAGACTGTGAATGGAATCTTAGTATCTATAGATAGAATGGTCATTTGATGTATTTATTTGGAGCTAGAGCTCAAACTCAGGAATTCAGTGTTGCGAGGCAAGTGTTTTACTATTGAACTATATCCTTGGCTCAGATAAATGGTGTTCAGAAAATATACAACTAAAACGTATTTTGAGTTTATGGAAAATTTTTTGAAAAGCATAACCACTTTATACAAGCTGTTTGTAATGCTTAGATGACTTATATTTAACAATAAATTATAGAAAATAATGGAATTATGTAGCATTCCAAATGTTGTACAATCTAAACTACATTTAAAATATACAGCTTAAATCCAAGTGGTATAAATTAAAACATAAGACATCATAACTTTTGCTAATAATATCTGATACAGTTATATTTGATCTTCAGTTTTTAAATATTTTACACATATATAAGTAATTAATTTCAGTTTGCCTAAGAATTAAATGCTAATTGGAGAAAAATAAAACTTCACCATTCTTTGGATAATTAGCACAGCAGGACTCTTTTATTTAAAGAATACACTCTAATATTAAGCAAATGAAATGATCAGATGCAAAGCCAGACTCTCACAGTATGATTCTGAGCTGCGTATTAACAGCAAAAAGAAGTCAGTTTCATAGATAATAATGAACACTTGTAAACAGTTCAATCACTCTGTAGAACATGTTTTGTATCCTTCTTATATGAAAACAGTGCACCTTTATAAGCACTGTGTGTATATATGCTAAAAGTTATGGCACTGTTGCACTGTTCTCCCCTTGTGCATCGATTTACTCGAGCGTACCCAGTAACGTCTCCGTTGTGAGACTTGTTGTTACTGTGTTTGGCATATCGAATACATCATGGTTAGCTTGCCAGGTTTTGCCGTGCAGGCGAGATACTCTCGGTAGCTTGCTGGGCTCTCAGAGGGGTGGAGGAATTAAACCCGGGTTGGTGGGGTCGGTCATGTGCAAGGCACACGCCCTGTCCTCTGTGCTATTGCTTTGGATAAATACGCCGACACAGAGAAGCAGTACTCTGATTTGACTAATAAATCCTAATATTAATATGATTTTAATGAAAATTTAAAACCAGGCATTATTTTAGAGGTCTATTGGTTTATTTCATTCATTTTGTATAAAAAACTGTTTCTGCTGTGCTTTTTTAAAAACTACTTAAGTTAAACACAAATATGGGCGATTCCTCAAAAATACACTTTAAAAATATAGCTAGTCGGTACAAATATCTCTTTAGCAGTCAGGTATACTCATTTATAATAATTAATGATCTATTTCTCAACAAGTGATAGTTATATTGATACACATTTTAAATAAAAAGCAATATCCGTGTTTTTAAATAACAGCTTTTCAATAATAGCCAGCTGCCATAACATGCCTGAGCATTTCACAATACAACACCCAAAAGCAACATATTGATCCCTAGGGCAAAGAGTTCAATTTCTTGAATTATATTCTTATAATATAGAACTAGAGATTTGAAGCTATCAACTGCATTAGAAACTTAAGAGTCTGAGTTACGTTTTTGATAACATTTGTAAAAATATATGCTTACTGACTATTCTAGACTAATTTGCTTTTTCTCTTCACGTTTTTTCACAATATTTTCTTCTGAAATATGGCAAATAGTTAAGTGGTCAGGTTTTTCTGGTATGCAAATGATACAAAGTTCATTTCATCATTGGAACAATTAATTTATCATCAGCGTTATCTTTTTATGTGCAAGTGGTATTGAAGTTGTTGATAATAATGCTAGTACTTAATGAAAGTGAGTGATTTTTGATGAAAAATGCTTGGAAATATTGAAAAGAATAAAAATTATAACTACCATGATCTCACAATGCACAACTATAAATGTTGTAACACTTAGTATCTTGGGATACTTTTTTATACTACATATTCTTTTCCTGCCCTCTTTCTATATAGGTATATACTTATGTATACCTCATATGCATGTATATAATTAAAGATCCTGACTCCACCATTTAAGTGCTTCGAAATCTTTAATAATTTACATAATATCTCAGAGTTTGAGTTCACCTTTAAATATGAATAGCAATAAGTACCGTGTTATAGAATTATAAAAAATAAGTGAGATATTAAATCCATACTATAAGCATACCTGGCTAGCATACTATAGCGATAATCATGTTTTAAAAATACTTTCAGATTATCAAATTTTCTCTTTTTTATTTGAAAGCTATACTAGCCATTGTTATTATCATATGTTGCTTTCAATAAGCCACAATAATATCTTTTTCCCCACTGTGATAATGGTGGTAAGTGGAACATAGGAAAAATATGTTCCATGCAAAATGGATCTTCACACAGACTTATTTTGTCATTTTAGTTTGATTTTTGAGAAATGAGTTTGGCACATCTGCCAAATCCTTTTGTAAGATGCTACATTCCTTTTTTATTTTAGTTTATTTCATTTATGAAAAGCTCTTTTCTTTTCTATCCCTCCCCGGATGGTTGGGCCTCTTCTCCCCATTCCTCCCTCCTGAAACTATAATGTTGTTGTACATTGAAAACTTTAAAACAGAAAGTGGGAAGAAAAGTTGGAAATATTCGTCTCTTAAAAAAATCTTATTGCCATTTTTTTGTTATATCTTGATTTTTAATGCAGTAAACTTGTCTTGCATATGCTGAAAATATACCATCTGATAATGGCCTTTTTTTTTTTTTGGTCTGGCTAACTTTGAAATAACAAATGTTTTTAGGGTGGAAAAAATAAAGCTTAGTTTGTGGAGGGGAATGATATAGTAAAGCAGATGAAGCAGATCAGTTTGCAAACATATGTTAATATTTATTTTTTTAAATGAAAGTTAACTAGTGAATGCTGTTTTACAAACTGTGTTTGATACTGTGTTTTGTTTATTCCATCCCAGAAAAAGTTAGCGGGATACAGCAAGATGCAGGACTCTCTGGAAGTCAACCTTCCCAGCAAACAAGAGGAGGATGAGGAGGAGGATGAGGAGGAGGAGGAGGAGGAGAAAGACCAGCCTGCCGAGATGGAGTACCTTAACTCTCGCTGTGTCCTTTTCACTTATTTCCAGGGAGACATTGGGTCAGTAGTGGATGAACACTTCTCAAGAGCTTTGGGCCAAGCCGGCACCCTCCATGCAGAATCTGCCATTTCAAAAAGCAAGATGGGGCTAACCCCACTATGGCGAGGTAAGAATTCAAAAGCAGATGCTCTCCAGGGCACTGTCTGTTTCGCAACAGTCTGTGCTTGTACCAGGTTCCAGCTGGAGACGTGCCCCTGGAGGACGGATATCCACTTGCTTTTTAATTTTTAAGGACAGCAAGGAATTTCTTTCAGACAAACAGCTGGATCGGTTTTGTCACATGTGGAATGCAGGGTTGGAAAGGATGCAGTCACACCCTTTAAATTCCTCATGGAAAGGAGTGATACAACTGGCCTGCGTTTTTAGTGCAGGATCGAGCTATGAAGCACCATTCCTGAAGCCCCGATGGCCCAATTTGGATCTCTAAATAATAGGCGTGCCGGGATCAGTTTTGAAAAATTAGCTCTTGCTCATTCCTCTAGGTGCTACGTGGTGACATAGCAGAGATCTGAGTCTAAACCAAAAACGCAGACTTTGAAACCTTCGTGTGTTCTCCTGATGGCTTTTTCTGTTTGGTGGTTTTGTGTTATTAGCTCATTACAGTGTACCATCCAGACATGACTGACTCTATGTGCAGAGCGTATTTATTTTTCTCTTTGTAAAATTAAGCAGTATATTGGGCATCATCTTCTTTATTTCCCTTTCTATAAAGTTTATGGAGGTCTGGTTGAATCTGATTTCTGACTCAGAACATTATTGGGCAACCTCTAATTGGGATTATTATTAGGTTACAGGAAAAGTAAATCATCATTCCAATAATAGTTTTAGAGAAATGTGTTACATACGGTTATTTGCATCTGATCCAATTATAGCACAAAAATGGTCCCCAATTTTTAATTACCAGAAACGTGTGTGTATCACTTGGAAACTGGTCATAAATTCATTCCCAGGCCTAAATCTCAGGCCAAATATTAGACCTACTGAATCACAAACTCTGGGGGAGATTTATCTCTGTTTCATGTAACCCTCTTAGTAATGTAGACACAGGCTCGTATGTGATGCAGATCCAGTCCTGTTTAAAACAGAACTGTTGGCCCCATGACTCCCTAAATCATGGTCATTTTCTATAAGGTTTGATTCTCTCTCCTCTTTTCCCCTTCTTTCCTCCCTCCCTCCCTCCCTCCCTCCCTCCCTCCCTCCCTCCCTCCCTCCCTTCCTTCCTTCCTTCCTTCCTTCCTTCCTTCCTTCCTTCCTTCCTTCCTCTCTCCCTCCCTCCCTCCCTCCCTCCCTCCCTCCCTTCCTCTCCAAAACTGGAATAAGCAGTGACTTTAAATCAATGATAGAAAATCTCATGTGACCAAAACTTTTAGACAGATGAATTGGGAAACTTAGAACTTATTTTATTAGTAAATATAATAAGCTATCTAAAAGAAATTCTAACAGTTTATTGGAAGCAAATGATGCTTATGTAGTCAACTCATGTTCTGTTTGATAGCACATGGGGATTATTTTTAAATAGCTTGTAGAAGATTAAAGTATAAAACTGTCAGTGAATTGGTGATACAGTTTGATAAACCAATAACAAATTTTATTTCACATGTTGTGGGAAAATAATAAACATAATCCTTAACTCCTTAACTCCTTTATCATTTTTATGTAACCTAATAGTCACTAATATGGGAATGAAACTTCAAAATTATATGATATAAAGGATAACTTATATAATAATGAGAAGTTTAAAGTTAAATTTTACAGATATGCAAAAACTCTACATTTTAAGTTTTCCCCTCCATAATCTACAAAACGGAAAAAAGACATTTGAATAGGTCCCTAATTTCAGTGCTGAAAGGGTGGATATGATTAGTATCTATATTTTAGTTTTCCAGACAAAACTTAAGGTTAGCTTTTAAATCTATCTTCCCTGCTTTATTCATTGACCAACAGACTAAAATATTTATTAAAATTCCACTATGTACTCTATCTAGTTCTAAATTTCTGAAGAGTGGGAATATGACAGTGGGAGGATCTGAATCATTACAACCGTGGAGTTTTGTAGAAGATGAGACAGTTAATAAATGTATAATAACATGCAAGGAAACTTATCCTTACAGTTATAATAGGTGCTCTGTTTGAGAACAATACCTTTGAACCCAGAATTAAAGGAAAGAAAACTTCTTATTCTTTTTTTTTAATGTAGGAGTATTGCTATTTATTTAGCCATTGATTAGGCTGATTGAATTGGGCATGAACTCCATCATACTTTTTTTCTTTTTTAATAGCACAGCGGTAGGGCGTTTGCCTTGCACGCAGCCAACATGGCAGACCCGAGTTCGATTCCTCCGCCCCTCTCAGAGAGCCCGAGAGTATCTCCCCTGCAAGGCAGAGCCTGGCAAGCTCCCCATGACGTATTCGATATGCCAAACACAGTAACAACAAAGTCTCCAATGGAGATGTTACTGGGCCCGCTCGAGCAAATCGACGAACAACGGGAGGGCCTTTACCTTTACCTTTACCTTGAATATATTTATTTATTGAATCACCGTTGGGCTGGAGCAATAGCACAGCGGGTAGGGCGTTCCCCTTACAAGCGGCCAACATGGCCGACCCGAGTTCGATTCCTCCGCCCCTCTCGGAGAGCCCGGCAAGCTACCGAGAGTATTCGATATGCCAGACACAGTAACAACAAAGTCTCCAATGGAGACGTTACTGGGCCCGCTCGAGGAAATCGACGATCAACGGGAGGGCATTTACCTTATTTACCTTTATTGAATCACCGTGAGAGCGGTTACAAAGATTTTGAGTTTAAGTCTCAGTCAAACAAAGATGAAATACCTGTCCCTTCACCAGTGCCCATTTTCCACCACCAAAAACACCAGTATACTCACCCATCCCACACCCTCCCCCTCCCCCTCCCTGTGGGGCAGATGATTTCCACATTACTCTCTCTCTACTTTGATTTCATTCAATATTTCACCCCAGAGCCACCATTATTATTTGGAATTCCACCCCAACACTCAGATCTGCCGAAAAGGCAACAGTAAATAATTCGTTTTCTATTGCTGGTTATAAATAACATATGATGTCATGCGGCTAAAGTAGTGGCCATGCAATTTTGAAATTCTGAAATTTTAACAATTAAGTTGGGAGGGATTTCTGTCAAAACCTGCTGGGTTCCAAGATTTGTTCCTGAGTCTCTGGGATCATGACTGTTAAGCAACTTGATCAGGAGCCAGAGAGGCCGTTCATGAGCGGCAACTTGGGGTCTCATTGGTGCGGGGAGGAAAGGGCCTGTTCCACCCCCATCCCATGAGGTCCCACGAGTCTCATCACTGCAGGCCCAAACCTGACTGTCCAATGGCCTCTGGAGGATGGCGGCCACCGAGCAGCCAGTGGGAACAGGCCAAAAGTTTCTGCACTCTCTGGGAAGATTATTTGAGGCAGCCAAACATCAGTGCAAAATTTCTAATGAAGGGCTGAATGTGTGATCCACTGAGAAACAAAAATGATGGTTTTAAAATGCTAGTTAAATGAAATTAAAACTCAGAGAGCAGTATTTTCAAACTTTGTATGTTGACGGAGTTTAATAGAATAGCTCAGGCAACACCAGCATGCTTTTAATTTCCATTATCCTCTTCTACTAGAACTTAATATATCATATCTAGTTATTTCACATTGTTTTCTCTAAAACTTATGGTAATTCATTTCTTTTAGGCAATTCAAAATATTAATAGAATGTTTAAATGATTTGAATGAAACAAGTTCATAGCAGACAACCAGGATTAGAAACATAAAATGTCCTTGATAGAGAATTATTGATTAATTGTTTGAAACCTTTGGTACTTTTTTATTTATGAAATAAGGAGTTAAATTTAATAACAGTTTAAATGTTTTTGGAAAATTTGGCTTTAAGTGTATTATTTACTTTACGATTGTGAATAAAACTTTGCCATAGTTGTTTTTATGTGTGAATCAGTTGATTTTTAGATAAACTTGAATAGCAGTTAAAACTTTTATACTATAAAAGATGTATTAAGTATCCAAAGAGTGGTATGACTGAGATTTCCATGCTTAATGAAAGAAGTTGTTGAGAATTTCACATTAATTTCCCATCTCTTGAAAAAGAGAATCTTTGTAAATTTTGTATCATTTGCCAAAGCTACAAATTTGAAAATTGCAGCCTTTGAATTTGGTTGTTTGATTTTCAGTTTGTACATTATTACAATTTGATTGCTATTTCTTAATTTCATTTGTATTTTGAGTCACACCTAGCTGTGCTCAAGGATTATTCCTGGCTCTTCGCTTAAGGATCAGTCTTAGTCTTATTTGGTTCTAGGTACTGGAATAGAGCCTGGGTTATATGTGCCCAAGGCAAGTACCTTGCTCACTTTATCTCTCCCTGGCACCATATTTGATTTCCATGTAGTTTGGGTCACTTAATATTTCTGCTGAATTTCAGCTACAATGTATTTATTGATACTCATTTACTAAGGTTATTGTAAAAAAATTTCTAGTGTTTAACTTCACTTGGGACAGTAAGCTGCTCACTGAAAGTTAGAATTTTCTTTCTGAAGCATATTTTCACCTATTTTTCACTCCCCCCACTCACACAAAAAAGAAAAAATAACCTTGAGTTTTAGCCAGAAACAACGTGTGTATTTTTAGTAGAAAACTAGATCTGTCTTGAACATAGTAACTGCAGAATGCTATTGATGGCATTGATGATTGTGGCAATAATATTTTATATAAGAGATTTGTCTGGCCGTATTAAATTAAAGAATGTAACTTATGGGAAGAAGTTTTAACAGTGCTCTACAGGTGCTGTAGTGTACACTAAAAAGAATCTAAAACTGAATTATGTCTGATTATTACACAATATAAAATATTTCCATAATAAAACTTTAAACCAAGGACTGAATGTCAACTATAATGAAATAATGACTGAACTCTGATATCTGTCTTGATGGAGTTAGGAAAATTCTCTTTAGGTGTTTTACAGATATTAAGAAATAATTGACAGGAAAAATTTGGCATATCATTATATGAATTGAGTTTTATTCATGCTACATTCTAAAAGGGATTAAATGAATTTCTCAGTTAAGAAATGAA